AAAACTGCTTGACTAGGCGAATGGTCTCTTTAAATGTATTCCTAGGAAGTTTCGTTGATTTCACGCGCCGCACGCGCCCAGTTTTATCATTCCTATTCTCTCCCCTTTTCTTCCTCTTTTCCAAGTTTAGGTTGTGGTTTTTATAAATTGTAGTATTTCCGGTCTCGTTTCGGGTGGCCTGCCCTGGGCTGGACCGGGCTATCCAAGGCCGCGCCCTGTATAATGCTATTCACGGCTTGGCGATGCCGTGCCGTGCCTCGCCGTGCCTCGCGGCCCGTGGCGCCGCTGACCCCTCAAATTGCTAATTAGCGAACGAACGCACGGTGCGCCGCCGTGCGCGGTGGAGAGTCCGGTGCGCTCGGCGATGATGGACTCGACGGCGCGGTGCTCTGGCACTGCCTTTTTCCGCTCTTTAGTCGCGGACGCCAAAAGTCGGGCCGCCGTAATGGGTAATTGCCACGGGCCTCTCTGGCTGGAGCCGCTGCTAGAGCACTAGAAGCTCTCCGGGTGGCTCGGGCTGGCCTGCGGGGATTTGCATACGACGCGCTTGTCGCCGTCATGGAGTCTGCCTCCGGCCGGGCCGCGCCGTCGTGAGGGCATCCCAGTGTGTCGCGGTGTCATGGCCCCGTCCTAATAGCTTTATTAGCCGCGGGAGTTCACGGCCACGGCCTTGGACACGGCGACACGGCCAGGGGGTCGCCCACGGCCCCGGAACCGCCAGCATTGTCGCCGCCGGGCGCGCGTACGCCGTGCAGGCACGCCGGCGACGCGCGCGGCTCGTAAAAAAATTAAAAATTAGGCGGTCGAAATCCGCCCGGTGCTTTACCACACTACTCCGTTGGTTAATTGCGGCGAAATTAAGTTATGCCGGTGATAACGATGGCGCCCCGGAAGCAGGCTTGGCTTGCTTCGGCTGGCCGGGGTCGCCGTTTTGGCCGCTTCGGCGACGGGCTGGGCTGGGCGGCTGCCCCTTGCAACGTCGCAACACTGGAGCCACATTCCAGGGTTCCCCGGCCATGTGAACCCTGGAGGCCGTTTATAACCTATATATATCTCGGGGTATGCTAATGCATTGCCCAAGCCTGCTTGACCTGCGCTTCGGGATACAATGACCCATCATACGAATTAGAGCACGCACACACACGCACGCACGCGGGGGGATCTTAATGACCCTTATTCTCTTTCGCTGATGACCACGGCGCCATAAATTATGACCTCTGCCCCCTCCCTCCCTCTTTTCGCCCGGGAAAATCGCGTCGTGTTTTGGTGGATGGCAAACGGGTCCACCTTGTGGCTGCCCTGCCGGCGCTGCCCCGCTGCCACCATCATCGTGAAGGTGCAAATTGGCGAGGCAAGCCATGGGCAAGCCGATGGCCCTGTGTGCGCGCGCGTCTGCGTCAACTGTCTGTCACTTATGATGCCAGTTTCGGCTCAATCGCTCTCCGTCGCCCGGGATTGCGTCAAGTGTCGGTGTCCCCGGCGCCTCCCCCCCCCCCCCCCCCCCGCCTCCTCGCTGGAGCAGAAAAAGAAAAGAAAGAAGAACCGGGTTCACGGCTCATGACCACAACTCATCCAGGAAAATGGAGCCGAATCGGCCGGGCTCGCCGCTCTCCTCTGTTACTCTAACAGCCCCGTCAGTGCCGCCACTACAAGTCGCCATCTCCTCCTTCTCCTTCTTCTCCTCCTCCTTCTTCTCCTCCTTGTTGTCCCTATCTGGCGCGGTGGATCTCCGGCCGGAAAGCGGCGCGGTCGTTGTGGCTGATTAATTGGGCTGGCGAAAAGGCATTAGCGAAAGTGATTAAAGACTCGGTGCGGAGCGGCCAAGCAGAGTGGCAAGCCGAGAATTTGGAGCGTTTCGCCACTGTGGGAAAGGCAGGCCAAAACATCTTTTTCGTTTTCTCTCAATGGATCTGTATGTGTGTGCGTGTGTGTGTGCGTGAATGATTGGAAAACGCGTCTGCAGCCGACACTTTAGGGGAGCAAAGAGTCCTTCCTAAATGAGGCTGACACGCACTCCTCGACTGACTAGTGTTCGTGTTCCGAGTTCCTCTCTCTTTCTCTCTCTCTCTCTCTCTCTCTCTCTCTCTCTCTCTCTCTCTTTTTCTCTCTCACTCACTCGCTCAATCCTTTCGCTCCTTCTTTTTTATCTTTACTCCCGGAGTGAACTGTGACCTCCGCTACCTAAACAAAGCGTCCTGTGATCAGCTCGTACCGCCTGGAGCCGCCGCAGCCCCCTCTCCTCTCCCTGTCTCTCTTCCCTCTTCCTCTCTCTCTCATCCTTTCGCCTCGCCACCACTGACTCCCTCCTCCTCCTCCTCCTTTCGTACCTCCGTACTTTGATCCGATAGCATCGCTTTTCTTCACTTTTTTCCTCTCCCTCTCATCTTTACTTCCTCTCGTCACTTTTGTGCTTTTGTCACATCGTCACGCCGGACTGCTCGCGTTATGATTGTTGTTACAAAGTGACAAAAACAACAACAGCAACACTCATGGACCAGAGAGAGAGAGAGAAAGAGAGATAGAAAACCAGGGACATCGATCATGTTTTTTTTTTGTTTTTGTCCGCCATTCCAGATCGAAAGTTTGTCACCTCGGCGAAACCGCTCCGCGGTTGCGGGGGCCATAACTGAATGGCGTTGTAGTCACGAAATTGGATAAAAAATAGAAGCCAATCTAAAAAAGACGGTCCGGAATCGTTGATCAGGACGACTTGGACCTGTACGTGTGTGCGTCTGTGTGTGAGTGTTACAACGCCGAAGAGAGATGTGGATCTGCTGGGCCGAAAAGTGGCCAGCAAAAAAATCTGTTGCTCCAAAGTTTTCTTCATGTTGCTGGTTTGGTCTGCGGCTCGGTCTTCGGCTGAGGAACTTGAAGTTTGTTCATGAAGTCAAAAAGTTGTCAAATCGCCACATTTTTCCCGCTGAAATTTTGCCTAAACTCACTAAATGACATCACTGCCTGTGTCTCGTGTCTCAACGAGCGGCGTGACAAATATCGATAAATAAACAGAAAGGCACAATGAAGGCTCCGCGGCCACGCGTTTTCCGCGGACGGTCCGTTTCTTGGATCCTTTGGTCGTGAGGGATGGATTGGACGTGTCGCGTGTCCCTAAGCGGACCTCGTAAACTTTGGATCCGGTATGGCCTGGCGGCCTGGCGACTCGGCCTGACGGCTTGGCCGCGGTGCCGCGGTGCGCGCGCACGTCTCTACGTCTCATTGAAGGCCCACTTTGAGCGGGTCGCGGGGGCACGGCGGGGGCACGACGTGTTCGACGCGCTGCCCCGTCCACTTGTAGCGAAGGGTCAATAAATTTCCCTGGCCGCGCTGCTCTGGGGTCTGCCGCCTCCTGGTTCCGAAGGAGGATCGCTGTGTCTCCGTCGCACTCGCGGGGCGTCCCGGAGGGGTGCGAGGGAGACAGCTCGACGAGACGGTCAGGTGGACGCCGCGGAGTGCGGCACTGCAGCGCGGCCTTCGGGCCTTCGGTCGGCCGAGCCCCGCGGGCCTGCCGAAGGTTCATTCCGAACAGAACAGACGTCGTCCGTCTCCCTCGCACCCCTCCGGCGCGCCCCGCCAGTGCGACAGAGACAGAGCGCTGTTCGGGACCAGGCTGCTGTTGCTTTCGCCCGGCAATCGTAAACGTCGCGGCGGCGAATTTTTCATCGCGTGGCGGCGTGGGCGGCGCGGGGCGCCGGAGGCGGTGCCGAGTGTCGAGGGCTGTCGTGCGCGGCGACGTCGCCGATCCGATCCAGGCGGCCGAACTGGCGCTCTGGCGCTGCCGTGCGCGTGACGGCGGCCCGCGGCGTTGTTGTCTCGTGCGTGAACGGCCAACGGCACCGGCCTGCACCGGCCTCACAAAGCCAACGAAACCTTCGGCGCCGGCCTCTGAAATTGAGTTGCTCCACATGCAGTGTAGTGCCCGCGCAACGCCACGCCGCCGTTTGGCGCTGCAGGGCTGCGGTGCGCTCCGAATGGGCCCCCGCCTGTCGCTGCAGTTCATGTCGCTCTGTCTCTCTCGCACCTCTACGGGACGCCGCGCGAGTGCGAGAGAGAGAGGGAGGCTGTCGGAATCAGCTTGCAGTGTCACCTGTCCGCGGGGACGGGGAACACGCCGGCAACGGCGTCGGCCTGTCGCGGCACACGGCGCGCTGGTTCTATTTCATGTCGCGGTCACTGAAAAGACACGCTTTTCTCGTCGTCGGCGTCCTGGCGGCGTCCTGGCGGCGGCCCGGCGAAAGCCGAACAACGGCGAACCCTGCCCCGGCAAAATGAGACGCCTGATTGTTTCCGATGTTTCCTCTCCTTCCCCGCATGAATGAGTCGGGGCTTGGCCCTTCCGATTCTCAGCGCGCTTTCTCGCTGGGACGACGGGGACGTCCGACGACCGCGGCGTTATGAGGAGGCTGGCGGCGCGATGGACGAGGCCGCCATTCCGAGTCTCTGTCTCTCTCGCACTTTTGCGGGACGCCCCACATGAGTGCGACAAAGACGGAGCGACGATGCGATGCTTCGGAATCAAGTCTGCTGACCGGCCGGCCGGGTAGTCCTGGCAGTCCGGTGCCCTGCCCGCGGCGCTATGTAGGGAGGGGCAAAGTCGCCAGGCCAGGGCAGCCGGGGCAGGACCTCGAGTCCACTCCAGTCCTCTCGGATGGAGAAGCTGCAGGCTGCCTCGCCCTCTCCTGCCCAGCCCGCCTGCCTGCCTGCCTGCCTGCCTGCCTGCCTGCCTGCCTGCCTGCCTGCCCTGCCATCGTTCCGCGAACTGGTCAACTCAACTATCGAGTTCCGCTTGACATGGTTGCGGCTCGTGCGGTGGGGCGTGGCAGGGGGAGGGGAGGGGGGTACTGACCCCGCGACTTGACCGTCGTGTCAACGGGTGTCATTACCCTGCAGCCTGGGCTTCCCTTACAAGGACCGCGGCGCTTCGCGAACTTTTTTCTTGTGTCTGGTGCGCGCTGCGTGCGTTTGAACCCGCGACCTGACTGTTGTGCTTCTTGTTGTTGCAGGCGGGCAGCCCGAGTCCGAGTCGAGCGGCGTGGCCAGCGCGGACGTGCTCCAGGCGCGGCCGCAGCTCGTGCCGCCGTCCGCGTCGTCCATGGCCTCGTCGTCGTCGTCCTCGCTGCGACCCTCGGCCGCGGCCCTGGGCGGCGGCGCCAGCGCCCACCGCAAGCGGCGCTCCGTGCCGCGCTCCTACGACAGCCCCACCACGGCGCTCAACGGCGCGCGCTCGTCGGTCAAGTCGGAGCGCCTGTCCCCCAGCGGCAGCGTGCACGGCCTCCACGACAGCGCCTCCACGTCCTCGCTGTCGCGCAGCGGCACGCCGTCGTCGCCGCCCGCCTCCTCCATCGGCCACCCCGCCGGCGCCAGCCCCGCGGCCAGCCCGTCGCGCAGCACCAGCAACAACAACACCACCACGCTCAACAACAACAACATCAGCAGCCACCTCAAGGCCATGGAGGACAGCGTCACGCACAACTACAGCGAGTTCATGCGGAACCTGGCCGCCAAGTACCAGTACGTGCACCCTGACGAGTGAGTATCCAATTCGGCGTGGCGTGGCCGGGCAGGGCGTCGTGGGGCCGCGGTAGGAGTGACCGCTCCGGGCCGCGCGGCCGCGCCCGTGTTGGGATCCCGTCCGGCAGCGGCCTGTCCCGACAGAGAAATACACATAAATAAGGGCGCAGAGCGGAGCAGAGGCGGGGGCAGCCCGCACTGCAGCCTGTCGGCGGGGTGGGGCGGGGCGGGGGCTTAAGCAAGTCGCCAATCGCGAATTCCGTCTCACTCGGAGACTGTTTGCAGTAATTTTATTAACATGAGTAGCCGCCTGCCGCCGCCTCGCGCGACTCGGTCGGTAGCTACGAAACGTCACGTCGGCGGCGAGGACTTGTTCCGCCGTGGGCCGGCGGGGCCGGACGGCAGTGCGAGGGAGAGGTCCGAGTCGTTCGAGTCCGTCGGGGCGGAGGCGGGCGGGGACGTTTTCCGGGCCGGTCAGTTGGAATGCCCTGGCGCTGCTGCTGCTTGAACGGGGCGGGGCGGGGCGGGGCGGGGGGACACGGTCCGAGGGCAGGACCCCGAGAAAGGGTCAACGCGGAGGGCAGGGCGCGGTATCGCGAAACACGAGTTCGCTCTTACGATCGGCTGCCACGGACTAGAGGCTGGACTGCTGGACGCAAGGCTGGACGCGGTACACGGGGAGTGGCCGCGCGGCACTGGAGCCATGCCGGAGCCCTGGAACGCGTCGTCCAGTTGTCCAGTGTGTCGGCCAGGGCACCGCGGCGCCGCACATTCCGGAACCTTGAGGAAGGGAGGGACCACAGCTGCATTGGACGCAGCGGTCGCTGAAAGTCAGGAAACAAGACTGTGTAGGCTACGCGAGAAAAAGAGTTAGTACGTACCCCTTCGGTCGGGCCGCTCCACCTCGCGCCCCACCCCACCCCGCTGCGTCAATCAAAGCGCTCAATGAAGCAACGAGCCGGCCCCGGGAAGTGGCCGGTCGGCCGGACCTTTGAATCCGGTAACGAGGACTGACCGGGCTTTGTTCTTGCTTTGGCAGGTTCTACAGCGCCACCCGCAACGGCTTCCCCGCCGCCCTGGACCCCCGCTTCCCCTACAAGGCAGGCGCCGCCACCTTCCTGATGCCGCCGCTGGGGCCCCTGCCCGGCGTGGGCGTCCCCGGCGTGCCCCCCGGCGTCGTGTCGCCGCTGCACCACCTGGCCGCGCCCGTGAGCGCGCCGCCGCCACCCGCCCCCAAGGACTCGGCGCCCGCCACGTCGTCGCGGAGCAGCGGCGGCAGCAGCCGCAGCGCGGCGTCGGACCGGGACCGGGATCGCGACCGCGACCGGGAGGACCGCGACCCCGCCGCCACCAACCACAGCGACGACCGGGCCGCGGCGCACAAGCCGACCGCCAAGTCGCCGCCCTCGTCCGCGGCGTCCGTCACCTCGGCCGTGTCGGACAGCGCCACCAGCCTGCTGTTCTCGCCGCTCTTCTCGGGCGGGCTGCCCGGCACCCTGCCCGGGGCGCTGCCAGGATCGGTGCCCGTCATGGACATGAGCTCGACGCAGGCCCTCGTCAACATGGTGCAGCGCTCGCACCAGAACCAGCTGGAGACGTACCTCAAGGGCGCCATCAAGAGGCCGGCCGAGACGTCGCCGTCGCCGCTCAGCCCCCTGGACTTGTCCTCGGCCGCGGCGCCGCCCAAGAAGAGCCGCAAGCGGGAGGGCGGCGACCTCTACGGCGTGGACGCGCTGCTCGGCCTGCCCAGCAGCCTCATCCGCAGCTCCAAGGAGCGGCTGGCCACCAGGACGCCGCCGTCGCGGGCGCTGTCCTCGCCCCGGCTCGCCGCCGCCCCCGCACCCGCCTCCCCCGGCCAGGCCAAGGGCGGCAACCCCCTGTCGTGCAGTGCGCTCTGCTCCACCTCCCCGGGCCACGCCACCGCCGAGGGACCCTGCACCACGGACGCCGGCGCCGCCTCCATCCTCCACTGGAGCGTCGGGGACGTGTGCAACTTCGTGGGCTCCATCGACCTCTGCGTCGAATATGTCCAGGTGAGTGACTGCTTTATTCCCCGTTGTGTGTGTGTGTGTGTGTGTCTAGCCGTGCATTCCTCGCGCGCGTGCGTGGTGTAGCCCCGAGGGGTCTAGTCCGTCCCTTGGAGGAACTGGTTCGTTTATGACGAGCGTCGCGAACGGACGCCGCGCCCCGCCAGCAGGCCGCCAGGCCGCCACTGCAATTTGGAGCTTCGCGCTCCGGGCAAGGTCCGAGTCCAAGGTCCGGCCCGGCCCGGCCCGGCCTGATCGGTCTATTGACCCCGCGCGGATGCAACCCGCCGCGCGTCGTGGGTCTATTTGATCCGACGGCCAGGCGGTTCGGAGCGGGCCGTGGGAAGGGCGTCGGCGACGAGACGCACTCCGGCGGGCTGCCCTGGTGCAGCCTGGCCGCCCGACGCCCGGCGGGACAATGCTGCCGAGTATTGGGAAAATGATTGTAATCTCTGGCGCCCGCCATCGGCGTGCCATCGGCCATCGGGGCCAGTGACTTGACGAGAAAGGCGAGGAACCTCGTTGAGGCGCCGCCGCGCGGCCGCGCCGCTTTTAAAATTTATGCCATTTTCTTGTGGGGCGCGTCGCCGCCGTCGTGGCCGCCGTCGTGGCCACCGTCGTGGCCGCGCCCCCGTTGCGTCAGTCTCTCACGGCCGCTAAGTGGCCGCGGCGGCGAGGCGGAGAAGCGCGCCGTCGTGGTGGCGCCCTCGTTGCGCGCCGCTGGAGAACAAGGAGCAGGCCGACGGGCTGATCAGGGACTCGGACACCGTTGACGACGACGTGCAAAGTGCACGGCCCTGAGGTCTATGCGTGTGAGGCTGACCCAAGGCTGCGAGTTGGAACCCCCAACTTGGACTTGTCCACCAGCACCTTGGCCTGCTCGGCCTGCTCGGCCACGGCGAGATACGCGATGCGTTGCCGGCGTGCACTAATGTGCCGGAGGCCCCATTACAGTGGCGCAATTATCTAACCGCGCCGCGCCTCGCCTCGCCTCGCCGCGCTGCCTGTCCGCGGGTCACGCTACGCGCCGCCACCGAACACGCCGATCCGAACACACCAAAAGGGCCGGCAGAGCGTTGCTCGAGAAGGGCGGGGCCGGCCGGCTGGAGCGGGCTGGAGAAGCTGGAGCGGCGCGGCTCTGGAAGTCTGGAATCGAAGGGGCAAGGGGCCGACCACTGTGCCGGACTATTCCAGGTTGATGGCCGAACATGAGCCGTTCCAGCAGGCTGCCCGTCCCGGCGTGTGTGTGTGTGTGTGTGTGTGTGTGTGTGTGTGTGTGTGTGTGTGTGTGTGTGTGTGTGTGCTTTGGCGCGGCGCTGGCCAATCATTGGAAACGTCATTGTGATGAGGACACGCCGCGACGACGCCGCTGCCCTGGCAAAGACATCCATGTCAGAGAGAGCGGTAAAGTGGTGCAGCGCGGCGGCACGGCGGTACGCACTGTAAGTACGCAGTGCAGTGGACGGCAGGCCGGGCCGCCGCTTGCAAAGTTGCATAGCACGCCTCTATTTCGCCTTCGCCCTGTTTCTTGCGCGGCCGGCCTAGTTCCGCCTGCCCCGCCTGCCTCATCGCCGTGTGTTTGAATAATGATAGGTGTTCCGAAACTACCTTTAGTGCGTGCGTGTGTGTGTGTGCGCCGCACCTCCATCCCTAATAGTCCACGGGCCGTACAAGGACCACGGCCGCGTGGACCTCTGCCGGCCTGTACTGCACCCATGGGAAAAGGGACTGGCATGGCCGCGGCGCCGCGGCAGCGAGCTTTCCTGGGAAACACCGCCACCGCGCGCGCGTTCGTGTCGGCTTCCTGTTGGCGGTGCTGGACCGCGTCGCCCTGGCCCCCGGTCCGCGTCCGCGTCGGCATGGCGTCCGCCCGGTAGCGCCTCGCCTTGGACCCCGCCTGCGCGGACACCAAGACACGCAGACGGCGGCGGCGCTGGGCGGGGCGTTGCCGGTCGCCAGCCAATCAGAGAAGGCCATTCGCTGGCGTTCGAATTAGGCGCGATTTATATCGGATCGGAGAAATCGGCTGGCACGCCACTGGCACGCCACTGGCACGGCGTCGAGGCGCGTAGCAGCGCGGGGACAGGTTCGGCACCGCGGCCCGTAAGTGACGTTTCGGTTTTCGTCTCCGCCGCGCCGCCGCCGCCGCCGCGCCACTTGCAAGCAGATTATCGTATAAATAAATTGGGCTCGTGCTGCCGTCGCCTTGCCGCGCTGATTATAATTCTGACCGGACCAAAATGGCCGTACGTTTTCCCGGCGTGTCGGGCCGGCGCGAGCGCGCGAGCCTCTCGCCTGGCCGCGATATCTCGGATCTGGATCGATACATCGACGATACATCGACGCCGTTCCGAGGCGTTGATGGGAGGGCGTAGCGGATTTAAGCCGCCCAACGGTTTTCATCCGTCCGCCGGCGACGGCCTCGTTCTCGTATATTTTCCTCTCGAATTGTTTTAATCAGTGAAAACGCTCTTTGGGCAAAAGTGCACGCAACGCGCGGCGGCCGCCGGACCGCGCGGCTGTTCCACGTAATGACCGCCCTCTGTCAGGTGTCAGGCGGGCAACAGTAGCGCGGCACCTCGCGCTGTCTCTCTCGCACCCCGACGGCGCGCCCTGCGAGTGCGACAGAGACAGAGCGACGCAGCGATCCTCTGCCTCATTTTCTCACCTAACCTCACTGTAAGAAGTTCCATTGCCGATCCGCCCGTTGCAGTGGTGACACGCGGGCCACGCAAAAAAATGTAAATCAGACCCGTGCTAATTTTTTTAACAGATCGTTTTTAGCACGGGCGCTAAAAAACTAGCACAGCTACAAGCTACCTCAGGTGCGCGCGGCCAGATGGTTAGCTGGTTACCTGCCAAGCAACCACTCTCGCAAAACACAAATTTGTGGCGGATTTAGCCAATTTTGTTTGTTAATACTGCTAGTCGTGGGCTGCTAACTATTGTTTGCAAGCCTTCAAAAATTTCTAGTAAACAAGCTAAATGCGATCTGACGAGACCAGTTGATGTCATCGTCGTCCAGTCACCGTCGCGGTGGAGGAGATCGCCGCGAGAGTGCGCTGCGCGCGTCGCGCCGCCGCTCGCGCGCGGTGACAGTGTAGCATGCGTTTTCACTTAGTCTGGGCGCCATCGTTTCTACAATTGTCTGCCAGGTGGCGGATCGCTTCCCCTGCTGGAGTGACACTTGACTCCAGCGGGCAATTCTGAGTGATTCGTGAGCGCGTCAAGGGTCACTGACGACTCCGTCCTATTTAAGATGTGTCCGTGACCGTTAGACCACATGGAGTAGACATTATTCGTAATGATGGTTTCATCTTTTCATCTCGGAATAACTAGGGGGCAAACAACTTGAGTAGTTCATCAGCAAGATTTGATTGGTTTACAGCTAAGGATTCCTTACAGTTCCAGCTAGGCCGTTAGATCCGTTGCTAGAATCGCCCAGCTAACACTTTTTAGCCACACAGTTAAAAAATTAGCTGCGCCTATAGAGCTAATCTTATTGGTGCGGGTGCTAATTTTTTAGCTCTGATGAAAATTATTTTTTTGCGTGGCTGTCTGCCTCGCACCCCCGCGGGCCGCCCCATGAGTGCGAGAGAGACAGAGCGACGCAAGCGCTGCTCGGAATGGGACTGCAGGCCGCGTGCTGGCTGGCCGGCCGGTCCGCGGGTCGCATCAGTCACTGTTGTTTTTGCGCGTGGCGCGGCCTGCCGGCCAGTGTGCCAGTGCGGCTGCCCGGTGCTCAGTGCTCCCGGCTAATGCGAAACAAATGTCCCTCCAATCCGCCAAGGCAGCCCAAGGCAGCCCAAGGCTTAGCGGGCCGTCCGGGCGTCCACTGGAGTCGCGCCAGTGCCCTGTCGAACCACAAATCGGAAATAGGAGTGAATGCATAAATTAGGGCCCGCCGGTGGAATGCCTGCCGCCTGCTGGCGCGCCGAGCACACCGCCAGCAGCAGACAGGCAGGCAGCCTCGCGCCGGGCGCTAGTCCGCCGTCTCCACGTCCAGGCCGATGTTTGTATTTCGCATTTCGGCTGCTTTCGCCAGTCCGAAAAAAAAAATCAAAACCACACACAGAGCAAGAAAGAGAGTCCAATTTATTTTTCGCGTCGCCCACGGGCCTGGTTCGATAGATCGATCAGTGCCACAGACAGATAGATGTATACACGGTCGGGAGTTAAGCACGACCGACCCCTCGTGTCCACGCACCCACCGGCTAAATTAGCATTTTCCAACGACAAAAAAATTCTTCAGTTTTTTGGAAAGTTGATCTGCGTAAACTTGCTCGCTTGCGGTGAGGGTAGCCGCACCTGCCTGCCGATGCATTGTCACTCGATCCCTCTCATTAAAACGCACCTTTCCCTCGCTGTGCCCCCCCCCCCCTTTCTTCCTTTCGCCTTGGCCCTGCCGCACCTGCCGCCGGGCTCCCTGCATTCGCTTGCTGTTGCCAAAACCCGGCATGACTTCCGGTCCCGGGCTTGCCCCCCCCCCTTTCCCCTTCCTCGCGGCCGTGTAGTTCCGGGCGGCTCAAGAGCCCCTGGCTGAGCAGCGCGTGCAATCCGCTGCTGCCCCATGAAATTCGGGCCAACTGACTAACGCTTGTCCTTACTCTGTGGGGAGTGCAGCGATGAACGACCGCGTTGTTCGGACTCGGCCCGACCGGAACGACTCGCGTTCGGACTGAGTTCGGCCGGAACGACTCGCGCTCGGACTGAGTTCGGCCGGAACGACTCGCGTTCGGACTGAGTTCGGCCGGAACGACGGGTGTTTGGGCGCGGCCGGCGCGTCCGATCGGAGTGAGAGTCTGGACGCTCTGCTTTGCTCTGCTTCCTCCAGGCAATTACACAAGGCATGCCGGCCGGGTTCCATGTATCGAGATGATGGCCCTCGCCGCGGCGATGCGCTGCGATGCGCTGCGGCCGTCGCCGCGAAAGGCAAGGACGTGCTTGCCGGCAAGCCGGCGGCAAGCCGAGGACTAGCGAGGGACAAGCCCGACCCGGATGGCCGG